GGGGGACAGGGGGTACCCGGCGGGGGAGGGCAGAGCCCAGAGGGCAAGGGCAGGGCTGCCTGTCCCCCCACCCCAGCACCCCGCCCGGTCCCAGCAGGCCCCGCACACCCACCAAGGCCGGATGAACTGCTGGAGCATAGGAGCCACCTCCTGCGGGCACACATAGCCCAGGCGGCCAATGGTGATGGCTGGAATGGCAGAGGGACTCGTCAGGCGACCTGCAACCCCGAGTGGCCCCGGGACGGTAGGTGGCAAGGCCTCTGGCACGAGGCACCGAGCCCCGCCCCATGGACCCCAAGGGAACAGCTCTTGCCGGCCAGCCCAGGGCCCCGAGCTTGGCCCAGCCTGCTTCCCTTCCCCAGCCTCCCCCACCTGGTGTCTCCCCAGGTCTCCTCCCAAGGGGGGCATCTGCCCTGGGGCTCCTTGCACAACTCCCTGCCAGGAGTCTGCAGACTTGGGTTTGTTTTCCCCAGGGCCCAGGAAGAGGGCACGAAAGGACAGCCCAGACCTGGCGCCCACCTGTGTTTTCCAGCAGTGTCTTGGGTGTATTGGGCCGGTTAATGATCTCCACCAGATTGTTGAGGACCATCTGCACATAGGGTTGCATCTCTGCCCCTAAGGGACCAGTCAAAATCAGAGCCCCGCCAGGCCTCCCCAAGCTCCTGGGTCAGTCAGGAGTGAGGCCACCCTCACGGTGATTCCTGTTCCACTCAGAGGACACACAGGAATTTCCCCACATTCCCCAGCCCAAAACCCAGGGCTAACTTAAGAGACAGCAGTCACCCAACCAATCCCATGAGGCCGTTCAGCCAACTACATCAACTGGTCCACTCCTCTCCTGCCTCTTTGGAGAAGCTAATCACAAAAAGGCCTTTCACCAGGGCGCCGGTGGCTCCCGCCTGTCATCCTAGCTACTCAGGAGGCTGAGATCTGAGGATCGCTGTTCAAAGCCAGCCCAGGCAGGAAAGTCCGTGAGACTCTTATCTCCAATAAGCCACTAGAAAAAAACCGGAAGTGGCGCTGTGGCTTAAGTGGTAGAGCGTACTCGCCTTGAGCTGAAGAGCTGAGGGACAGCGCCCAAGCCCAGAGTTCAAGCCCCACGACTGACAAAAAGACAAAAAGACCAAAAAAAAAAAAAAAAGCCTTTCAGTTATTTGACTCCCAATGTAAAACAGTCATTCTCTGGCCAATCAGCTGACTTCCCTGAGATCTGTCAGTCACAGCAAGACTCCGCCCCAAATTATGAACAGACCAATGGGGGAAGGCCTAGGCAATTGGCCAGGCACTCACCCATTTGCATGCAGATCTCACCGATGGCCCAGGTGGCATTGTTACAGACGGAAATGAACTCGGGGTTCAGGTTGGTGCCCAGGATGGGCATGAACTCGGCTGCTCAGGAGAGAAACAGTGCTAAGCAGGAAAGTTAGACACCTGGAGGTCCGGGGCAGGGCTGGGCGGGACCCCATCAGACAGTACGAATACATCCCAGTTAGGTCACGGTCATCCCAGGGCACGTATCCATCACGCGAGGCCAGGGCGAGGCTCGGGTTCAGCGCGGTCGAGGTAGGTGGCTTACCAATACAGGGCTTGACATGGATGAAGCAGGCTTTGGTGAGATCTCCCAGGAGAGCAAACGAACTCTGCCGCACCTCAGGCATTGAGTCCTGGCACAAAAACAGTACTTGACATTTTCTGATAGACCTGAGGTTTGAATCCAGGGCCACACACTTGCTTATTAGCCTGGCAGTCTACATGTGAGTGATATGACTTCTAGAGGATGTTGGGTCCTATTTGAAGCACCTTTGTGGTTTGTGTGTGGTCACAGGTGTGCACGAGTTATGTATGTATGCATGTGCATACACATTGTGGGTGCCAGTAGTGGGGCTTGAACTCAGGGCCTGGGTGCTGTCCCTGAGCCTCTTTGTGTTCAAGGCTAGTATTCTACCACTTAAGCCTCAGCACCATTTCTGAGTAGTGTATTGGCGATAAATAAGAGTTTCATGGACTTTCCTGCCCAAGCTGCCTTTGAACTACAATCCTATCCTCAGATCTCAGCCTCCTGAATAGCTAGGATGACAGGCGTGAGCCACCGGTACCCAGCAGCCATGGTGTGCAGCCTGCGTGGAACACCCACGCACCTGCATACACTGGAAGAGCAGAGTCATGATGTTACTCCGGGCCACTAGCTGCTCCACGTGGCCGCCCAGGCCCTCAGCCAGGCCGCTGAGCAGATCCAGTGCCACGATCATGAAATCCTTGTCGGGGGCCTCATACTGCTCAGGGTGCTGGGTGTACATCTGCAAACAGAATGGATGGGAGGTCAGCGGAGCGGGGGAGGGAGTGGGCAGAGGCCTGGGCAGCAGCTGAGTGGGCAGAGAGGGGAGCCAGGGGTGCTCACCATGGCCTGGGCCAGTGTCTTCTGCACCAGGGTGACGCAGCGCTGGTACACGGGCTCGCAGTAGGGCAGGAAGCCACTCTGCAGGGCAGTGGCGACCGAGGAGAGGCACTGGGGAGAAGGGCAGGGAAGGTGAGCCTAGGGAGAGATGGGGGCGGGGCTGGGGGCGGGGCTCTGCGGCCGCTCACTTCCAACAGGGGAAAGAGGTCCTTGTCCTCATCCTTCAGCTCGTTCCACTTCTGGATGAGCGGTGGCATCAGTTTCTGGATGTATTCCTGGAGAGGGAGAAGTCAGGCTCCACAGTAAGGGGCGTTGATTGGCTTGGCCCATTCCCTGAAGGGTGGGGTCCGGGACCCTTGTTGGGGGGGGTTGCTCACCACACAGCCATATCTGCAGGCTTTTGTCCTTCTCACCCATGGGTCCCCGGCACACCCCCAGGCCTGGGCACACCCCTGGCACAGCACTCACCAGGCTGTCTGGCCTAGACTGGAGCCAGGGCTGGGGGGGCTGGGGTGCTGGAGTGCGCTGGGGGCTCTGGGTGCCCGGCACCCTGTCCCTGGCGTGGGGCGGAGGCAGAGGGGGCTGCAGGAGGATCTCACCGGCTGGTTGAGGTGATGGCCCACGGAGTCGGCCAAAGTGCCGATGGCGTCATAGAGGATGAGCAGATTCTTATGCTGGTACTTGCCGAAGGCGAAGACGAGGGTGTCCAGGATGTAGCTGAGGTAGGGCACCAGCTCCGTGCACGCCTCCTCCTCCAGGGTGGCGAAGGCACTGGAAGGAGGGAGAACGCAGGGAGGGCTCAGCGGACCAGCGCGCGTGGCTCTGGGCCATGGGGAGAGGAAGAGGCCCCACGCGGGATCAGCCAGTACGAATACGACAGAAATCAGTGCCACATCAGCAGTCACAGCAGTCATCCCTTCCCAAGGGGCAGGACAATGGGGGGGGATATGCCATAGGTCAGGGGTCAAGGGTCACCTGCAGGCTGCCTCCTGCACCCTCTTGTTGCCATCCAGGATGCGTTTGAGTAGCTCTGTCATCAGAGGCTTGAGGTGCATGTCCGGAGGCTGGCTGACCACCCAGTGGGCGTAGCGGCTCAGTGTCCAGCACGCGATGGAGCGGACCAGGGCCTTCTTGTCCGACAGGCACCGGATGAGGTGTGGGATCAGCTCGGGCAGGTAGGGCACCATGCCTTGCATACAGCCTTAAAAGCCACCGAGAGAGGGGACACGAGGTGTCAGGTGGACTGGGTCCTGGAGCTACAGTACCCGCACCCTTCTGGGAGCGCAAAGACCACCTCCTGGCAGATGAGAAATTGAGGTTCAATCACTGGCCCAGAGACACTCACTCAGAGCCCAGGACAGGAAAGGCAGGTGGCACTAACTTAGCTGTTTATTCATTAGTTCAGAATCTTCACTGCATAGTGAACTGGGCTTCACAGGAGAGCCCCTGACCCAGCTAGAGAGGAATATTCTCATCCAAAATTCTCCATGGCTCCTTGTGCTTTTCCTTTATTCTTTACTCTCTCTTAGCCATTTTCACGTTCTGTGCCTGGGTGCTGTTCCTGATCATTTTTTTGTGAGCACTCTACCACTTCTTGCATTTTTTGGAGGTAACTGGCACTAAGAGTCTCCCAGATTTCCCTGTTCAGGCTGGCTTTGAACTGCAATCCTCAGATCTCAGCCTCCTGAGTAGCATCATATTTACTTTGTATTTTGGGCCGTCCTGAAATTGAACTTGGAGTCTTCCGTGTGCTCCAAAGCAATTCACCCAGACCTCCCTACCGTCCTAGCTGTCTTGGCCGCCCCTGGCCGGGGGACGCTGAGTCCCTGGCAGGGGGTGGGGTCCCTTGCACAGGAGACCCCAGGACTCACCCTCGGCGATGGCACCCAGCACCAGGATGCCGGACTCCTTGACCACCCATTCGGGATGGAATAGGAGGCCCTTGAGCAGGGGGAGGAGGTGCGGGAGCAGTTCCTCCCGGAAAACATTGGCCAGGACGTCCAACGCAGCTGCAGAGCACTTCCCTGGATGGTGGGGGAGGGGGGCAGTCTCAGGGAAGGGAAGATCTTCACCACCTGCTCCCAGCCGACCTGGCTTCCCCACGCCCGCCCTCACCCCGGGAGGGGGGCTGGGCACCATGGCGGCCCCAGGGCTGGCCACGCACTCAGATTCCAGTCGGACAACGCATCGTCGTCATCATCGTCCTCCGCATCTTCGGAGCCGTCAGGCCGCTCGGCTTCGTGGGGCAGCGTCACCGTGCGTGACTTGTGGAAGCGTGGCTTGATGTCCTGTTCGCTGTCGGGGACAGCCTCGTCCTCTTCCACGTCGCCCTGGCAGGGTGGGCAGACAAGACGGCTTGGCACCGGGCGGTTCCCAGAGCCATGCCGTGCCCAGCACCCCCACACACACACACTCACCTTGAGCAAAATGATATCGATTTCCGAGTACTTCATCCCATTTACAAGAGTGGGGATCAACCTATGGGGAGAGAAGATGACTATTCATTGGGGGATGACGATTCAATGGGACGGCGGGGGGGGGGGGGAGAAGAAGGCTGGGCAGCAGCAGCAGGCAAGGGCAGATTGTGCTGGAAACCTATGCTGGGCATGTGGGGCTAGTGCCCACATCTCCCCAGGGAGGGGGCAATTACCCCAGCCTAGTTTCAAGCATCAGGATTAGGGACACACCACTCTTTGTACCACAGGAAAGGAAGCTCTTGGCCTAGGCCTGGCTACTGGAAAACTCTCAGACCCCTGCACACACGGCAACTTCAGAACAGGATCAGGTTCCCTAGCACCACGTGTAGAAAGCACAAACATGCTTTGTTTATTTTTGGTTGGTCCTGGAGCTTGAACTCTGGGCCTGGGGGCTGTCTGTCCCTGAGATCTTCAACTCAAGGTGAGTGGCACTTAAGCCACAGTGCCACAGCCGGTTTTCTAGTGGTTCTTTGGAGGTAAGAGTCTCACGGACTTTCCTGCCCAGGCTGACTTCAAACCACAATCTGAGATCTCGGCCTCCTGAGTAGCTAAGATGACAGGCATGAGCCACCAGTGCCTGGCTTCTGGGCCCTTGCATGGGGCAGAGAAGCGCCGGACAAATAGGCAATGCGGCTTCATTGCAAAGCTGGAGTTCAATTCTCAGAGGGCCTCCTGTGCCTGCTTCAACATGGTTCCCTCGTCACTTTCCAGAAGCCTCCTTCCCTCCGGCCCCACTCACCATTTTCCACAATGGTTCAGAAAAGCTAAGGGATTCCAATAGGTTAAGGGTCAGCTCTGAGGAGTTTGGTTAGACAGTAGTTGAAGCCAGGGCCTGGAGACTCACGGCTGTAATCCTAGCTATTAAGGTGACAAGAGATCTGAGGATCGAAGTTCAAAGCCAGCCTGGGCAGGAAAGTCCATGAGATTCTTTTTTTTTTTTTGGGGTCCGGTCGTGGGGCCTGAACTCTGGGCCTAGGCGCTGTCCCTCAGCTCTTCAGCTCAAGGCTAGCGCTCTACCACTTGAGCCATAGTGCCACTTCCGGCTTTTTTCTTATGTGGTGCTGAGGAATCGAACCCAAGGCCTAGAGCATGCAAGGCAAGCACTCTACCACTGAGCCACCTTCCCAGCCGTCCATGAGATTCTTTATTTCCAATTAGCCAACAAAAGGCTGGAATTGGAGCTAGAGCTCAGCTAGTAGAGCACTAGCCTTCGGTGAGAAACTCAGGGACAGTGTCTAGGTGCCCTGAGTTTAAGCCCCAGGACACAGGCAGGCACACACACAAGACAGCAACTGTAAGAGACAAGTCTTTGCTTTGGCTTTCCTATACTGGAAGGATACAGAGGGCCTAGCATTACCCAGGAAGAGCATACCTGAGAACAAAGCCCAGTGCTGGAGAAGCAGAGCTAAAGCTAAGACACATGTGTTTTTTATATCCTTTGGGCACCTGGATCTAGTTGTGCCTGAAGCCATGGTTGGTCTCTCATTTCTTTTTTTTTTTTTTTGGTAGGTGGTGGGGCCTGAACTCTGGGCCTGGGCGCTGTCCCTCAGCTCTTCAGCTCAAGGCGAGCACTCTACCACTTGAGCCACAGCGCCACTTCTGGGTTTCTGGTAGTTTAATGGAGACAAAAGTCTCCACAGACTTTCCTGCCTAGGCTGGCTTGGAACCATGATCCTCAGATCTCAGCCTCCTGAGTAGCTGGGATGACAGGCGTGAGCCACTGATACCCAGCTCACTTCTAACAGTTACCAATTTTTTAAAAAGTCGGTTAAAGCTTCTTGCAAAGTCCCCTGACGCTGTGGTTTTCTGCAAGCTCAAGGGGTGACCAGAAAAGGAAAGGCGCAGGCATGGGGTGGGGTGGGTCAGGACGCCACTCACTGGACCAGATGGGAGGCCAGAACTTCCTTGCAGATGGGTTGCTCGGCCAGCGTCAGCCAGAACTCACAGGCCTCCAGGGCCACGTTCTCGTCATGGTCCTGGGTCCGCTGGAGCATGTACTGGGGCAGGGGAGGTGGAGAGGGAGACGCTGAGTCCAGCTGGGCTTCAGGAGGTTCCCGCGCCTTGGCCAGCCCCTCCTGCCCTTGGCTGTGACCTTGACCATGCACACCTGGATGATGCTGTGCATGTGGGGGATGAGCCGGTCAATGCGCACTTCTAGAAGCATCACCAAGGCACGGCATACATTCTTCCGCACCTCGGGGTCGTCATCCACAGCCAGGGCGAACAGGTGCTGTGGGGATGGCCAGGGTAAGCTACTTAAGAAGGGCGGGGTGGGGGAGCCCTCTTCCTGCCCGCCCCGGCCAGATGGCCTACCTCGATGAAGGTGTCAATGTTATCCATCAGCGCCTGGGCTCGGTCCATGATGAACTGGTTCACACAGGCGATGGCGTGGGACCTGGTGAGGAGTGGAAATGGGGCTCAGCCCCCCTCCCCCGCCAACCAACCCTGTCCTCCAGCTCGGAGCCTCTGGGTTGCCTTGGGGAAGCCACACCTACCGGATCTTGGGGCTGCAGTGCTTAAAGAACTGCAGGAACTTGGGGATCATGATGTTGAGCGGCCTGTTGAGCGCATCGCTGTCCAGGAGTTCGGAGGAGTCTTCACAGATCTTCTGCAGGGCTCCGAAGGCTCCCTGGGTGGATTGGAGCAGACAGATGTGGGGGGCAGGGGGTGAGGCCTTCTCCGGGCCTGGGCCCCTGCTAGGGTGGGGCCACAGCTTGTTGCCTACCTCACAAGTGTTGTAATCCTCCGAGTTGAGCAGGTTGCATAACTGGGGCAGCAGCTCAGGCCACATCTGCAGCTCACCCTTGGAAGCGATGGTGGTTATAAGAATACCTGGGCAGCCGGGGAGAGGAGGCTGCCTCAGGCTGGGCAAGGGCCTGCCTGCCCCTCCATGCTCCCCACCCCTCCCCAAGATGACCCCACCCAGCCCCCTTGCTGCTGCTGCTGATGTTGTTTTTCCTGTCTTCCTCTGGCTAGGACCTCAGCTGGGCAAGGTAAGAACTTGGCCGCTGGGCACGCTCTAGCCCTGATAGGGCAGGGGACAGGGGAACTGGTGGGGGGGGGGGGACCCACAGGGATGACACACTCGCTGACTCAGCACACATCCTCTGGGCCCCACAAGCCAGCCAGTTCTGTCCAGACCCTGGGATATAGTCCAGCCCCAAACACCAAAGCCTGTTCTAGGAGAAGAGAAGAACAGGGTGGTCATAGGCTGAGGGCTGAGTGACTGGGTGGACACAGAAGGCCTCAACAGCTGATACCCTCACATGAAAGGCCTGAGAGAAGAGAAACAGACCAGGGACTTGGGAGAAAGAGCATCTCAGCCAGAGGGATGGACCAGTGTCAAGACCCTGGGGTTGAACAGGCTCTCACAGAGGGGAAGAGAAGCGGAGAGTGAAGGGAAGGCACAGCAGGAGGTGAGAGCAGACAACTTGTGTAAGGCTTTGTGGCTACAGGTAGGAATTTACAGACTAGTGAAACTCCCCGGGGCATTGTGAGCCATTAATGCCACTCGCCACCACAAGATGGCAGTGTTTCCTACCACTAGGGGTGGTCACATTACCCACCCTCCCCGGCTTTCACCCTTCTATGGAAAGAGCACCAGCCTCCTCCCTATGATCCCAGCACTCAGGAGAGGCTGAGGCAGGAGGATCAAGGGTTTGAGTTATATGGCAAAGAAAGCTACCACCCTCCTAAGATTCACCTGGAGGCTTCTATGAAAGCGTCCTCCAGGGAACGGCTCAATAGTGCTTCCTAGAAAAACGGATACTTCCTCTCATAGACTTCAAATGGATTCTAGAGAGCTTCTTAATGCTACGTAATGACAAGAAAAAGTCTTCCCATGTTCAAAACAAGTTGCTGTTTCTGAGTAGTTTTGAACCTGTGGCTGTAGAAGCTGAGGACATGTGTCAGCAGAGTCTACCACCTAGAATGAGCTCTAAAACCTTCCATGGCCTCAAGCAGGAAGCTACGAAATCAGCATATTTGTCAGGTCCAAGCATCCAGCACAAACACTATTTCTATTTATTATTGGTTTTTTTGTGTGTGTGTGCCAGTCCTGGGACTTGAATGCAGGTCCTTGGCACTGTCCCTTAGCTTTTTTTTTTTTTAAGGCTTAAGTTTAAAAAAAGGGGGTGGGGGAGGGGGAAGCTATATACAACTCCACTTCTGACTCTGGCAATTAATTAATCATAGCCAGGTGCCAATGGCTCACTCTTCTAGCTACTTAGGAGGCTGAGGTCTGAGGATCACCATTCGAAGTCAGCCTGGGTAGGAAAGTCCCTGAGACTTTCATCTCCAGCAAAAAGCTGGAAGTGGAGTTGTATGGCTCAAATGATAGAAGGCCAGAATTGTGGGGGGAAAGCTAAGGGACAGCACGTAGGCCCTGAGTTCAAGCCCCAGGACCAGAAACAAACAAACAAACAAGACCCTGAACTGGCAGCTGACCAGCTGCCTAAGCCAGGACAAAGCTGAAAAACCATCCCCCCTGCCCTTCTCACCGATGGTAGCCCGGATGAGAGAGGAGGCATCGCCGATGTTGTTGAGACACTCTTGCTTGATGAAGTCAGCCACAGGTGGTGGAAAGCTCTGGTAATGTGCTTTCACGTTGTTTTTGAGGATGAGCCCACTGAGAGACCGGGTTGGCTCATCTGGGGGAGAGAGGACCAAGGTTCAGGGGTCCATCACGAAGAGAGGCGGGGCAGGGTCAGAGCCAGGGACCGGCAGGACATACCTTCTGATTTGAGCCTCGTCAGGACAAAGATTAGGTAGTTGTTGAAGTCGGGGAATTGGTTGAGTTGCTTGAGTTTCTGCCAGGCTGTTAAGGGACTTGGGAGACAAAAGCTTTCCACGCGGGATGTCCTGTCTCATAGCTGCCACTAGTGACCAGTGAAATCTGGCAGCAGTGTAATCTAGAATCCCACTGCCCAAGCCCTCTGCCCAAGTCCCCCTCATAGATAGGGAAAGGTTTCCCTCATGGATCACAGTGGAATGCTAAGGGACCAGACGGCGCCTCCTAAGATGGCAGCTGCTACTCCCTGGGCTAGCACACTACTGCTGGAGCGACAGCTCCACTTCGGGTTTTGGGTTGTTTTTTTGGATGACAAGTCTCACAGACTTTCCTGTCCTGGCTGGTTTTGAACTGCAATACTCAGATCTCAGCCTCCTAAGTAGGAGTATAGGCATGAGCCACTGGTGCCCGACTTCAAACAAGTTTAATTTAAAGCCTAAACAAAACCCAAGACCAACTCAAAATGCACCCCACTTCCCTGGGGGGCGGTGCATCTTCCCAAGTCTGACAGGACAGAGTAGAATGCAAGCCTGAGTGGGAGGGACCACCAGCCCTGGCACTAGTGTTTCCTAGCTGCTGCCTTTATTAAATTGGTTGGTCTTTGTCTCTCTGAGTCTCCAGGCTCCCATCTGTTAAATGGGCAGAACAACAGCTCCCCACTGTGTAAGTTAAGTAGCAAGTACTTCTTGAGTACTAGGAGTTCCCACGGTTTCTCCTAACAATGGCTGCAACAGCTCTGGGAACTGGACCCAGGGATTCAGAGCACTAATTTAGTCTCCAGACCTGGTTTGTCGTGGGGTTTTTTGTTTGTTGGTTCTGCTTTGTTTTTGGTGTTGGTCCTTGGGCTTGAACTCAGGGCCTGGGCGCTGCCCCTGAGCTGCTTTTGCTCTACCAACTTGAGCTACACCTCCATTTCCGGCTTTTGTGCTGGTTAACTGGAGATTAAGAGTCTCCCAGACTTTGCTGTCTGTCCAAGCTGCTTTGGAACCACAATCCTCAGATCCTGAGTAACTAGGAATGCGGGGTGTGAGCCACACCAGCCCCAGGCTTCGTGCTGTTCCTTTCCCACAAAGGGGGTTTTTGAGTCAGGAAATGAGCCCTGCTGGCTTCCCCCAGGTCCGGGAAGGAAGGAAGGATACATCCTGCACGATGCGCTGTGTGGCTGTGTTGGGCGACTGCGAGTCTTTGAGCAGCTGCAGTACCTGCTGCAGGCCTTGTTCGTCTGGCTGCCAGTCCATTGCGCAAGGGGAGCTGCGGGGCCGGGGCCGGGGTCAGCGCTACACCTCCGGGGCTCCGCGTGAGACTCGGGCTGAGCCCCCGAGGGAGCGGTGGCCGCAGGACGATCCACGCCCGCCCGGGTGCGGGGTCCCCGCCAGCCGCGCCATCCCCGGCCGCGCAGTGGCGGGCTTGGGAGCGCAGGAGGGAAGGGGGGGGGGTGTTCGGAAGCGGGCCACGGCGGGCGGCGGCGGCGCGGCCCGGCGGATCCTCATCGGAACAAAGTGGAGCCCTCTTCCCAAGGCGGTCCATGCCCTCGACCGCCCTCGACCGCCGGCCCTAAGGTTTGCACCTCCCTCGCGGCTCCAGGGGGCGCGAGCGCCCCGGTCCCCTCGTGCCGGGGAGATTCCCCTTCTCCGAAACCGGCCTCTCAGACTCCGCCAGACCCCAGCTGCCCCCGATCGGAGCCTGGTCCCTGCGCGTCCCCAGGTGCACGGTCCCCGGGCACGCTCCCCATCCCCGCCGCCTCCCCTAAACCTGCCCTTCAGGCCCCGCGGATGCCAGATGCCGTCCTCCCGGCTTAGCGAGGCGCGGTGCAGCGGCTCCCCAGAACAGGACGGGGAGCAAACGCCACAGAGGTCTCCGCGGCCTCCGAAGGAGAAATCAGCCCAACCCGGGACAGAGCCCCCCACCCCAGCCCACCCCCAGGACTGGTCCCCACCGCCCGTCCCCATCAGGATGGACGAAGCCTCTCCCGCTCCCACCCTCCGCCCGCCCCACTCAGCAGTAACTGGGGAGGAGGGGTCGAATCGGTGCGTCTCCCCCCCCCGACTTCCGCCAAGCCCCCCACCTCCTGGAGCCGGAAATCCCCTCCCTCACATTCCAGAAGCTTTTCCTAATTAGCCCCGGCCCAACCCCACCCCCCC